GGCCAGGCTCCTGAAAATGAGGCTGTGATTTGAGCCAATGGGCCAAGACCCCACACTCCATCCTGAACCCTCCTCAGGGTCCAGACAGATAGGGCCAGGGGAGGAAAGGGTTTCCTCAGCTGAGGACCAGCACCCCCTGGAGGAGCTGGCTCTCTGGCCCTTCGCACCATCTACAACCTTTAAATCCTAAGAGCTCTGGCGTGAGACAGGTCTTTCAGGTATGGAACTCACCCACTATGAACCCTTCCGGCAGTGGAGTGCCCTTCAGAACACTCTCAGGCACGGCTCAGATGTTCCCTGCCCTCCTAAAGCCTTTGGGGTATTGGCCACCCAACCTTGACTCTCAGCTCATACCCGCTCCACCTCCATAGGGCAGTCTGAGGCTACTTCCCGGGTGGGGGGGCCTGGCCCGGGGCTTTACAAACTCCACCCCGACAACCTTCCCAGCACCCCTGCAGGGAGTGGTCCTAGGGCCCCTCTTACAGGCTTTGTTCCTTTGTGGCTTTCATCATAACAGAATAACGGGGCGGCAAATTTTGTAACATCTATAGCCTTTAAGGATGCAAAGTCCTCATGTGATATGTCCCCAATTTACTAATCAATCCACTGTTTGCTGTGTGTCTTCCTGAACAGAAAGTGGGCTTCCCAGTATCAGAGACAGTGTCCTTATTAATTCCCATTGCAATCCTCGTCTCTAAGGCTCAGTGTCCCACGGTTGGAAACAGAGGAAAACATCCACTGAACGGAAGAGTGAGGGGAGGCCACCACTCCCATGTTGTAGATGAGGACCGTGAGGCTCAGGTTAGGTGACCTGCCCAAGTTCCCATGGCTGTTAAGGGGCAGAGAGGGGTGTGCCCCGGCTGCTCAACACAGATACTCGTCTTATTCCACAACGGTGACCTGGTGGCAACTGGGTTCAGGCAGCGTCTGTGTGTACTGTGACCCAGGGGATGTGCTGTGTGCTTCCAGGGCTGGCCCCTTCCCCCCTCCTCAATGTCCTTCCTCCCAAGCAGAGCACTGGGAGCACCCAGCCCAGAGCTGCCTCTGCTGGCATGTGCTAGAGGCCTTTGTCCCCAGAATGGGCACGGCACAGCCCCCCTCTGACCTGGCGCTGCTGGCCGCAGGAGAAGGGAGAGAGGATGGGGAAGAGGGCGCTCAAGCCACAGGTCTGACACCCCAGCGATGGGCCCTGGCCCCAATTGGCCTATCCAGCCCCAGAAGGGCTAAAACATCTCCATCTGTCACTACATGTCAGACAGGGGAGGCTGGGGGCTCCAGGGCGGGGAGGTCTCCAAGGATGCCTTGGCCTCTGGCCCACCTCAATGCTTTGCCACTGGTGGCTCAGCACCAAAGCATCTGACAGGCTCCTGGCGGGTCCTGGGGGCAGATATTCCACTGGGGGTCAGGAAAGGGTGAGGCCACAGCGCAGTGGGGATCTGTTGCCACCCCTCCCTGCCCACCCATTAGTCTCTTCCCCCTCCGCAGATCCGGGCCCCGACTGTCACACCGCAGGGCTGATTTATTTTTCTTGTGGCCTTGCTCTTGGAGGGGGCTAGAGAGCAGCATGTCATCACCCTCTCTAAATATTATAACTCCGCAGAGAATTGACAAACGTGACTCATCACCCTTCCACTCTCCAGCCAGAGAATCCCCAGGCCTTGCTCTGTTGATAGGAGTGTGATAATCATCACAATAATAGCGGTAACAACGATAATCGCTGCTCCCAATTACCGAACACGTGTCCTGTCCAGACACTGCGCTAAGCGCTTCCCTCACACGCTTTCATCTGCTCTTCGCAAGCCTGCTAAGAAGGTATTCTTTTCATCCTATCAGGCAGAGGAAGAGACTGAGGTTCAGAGTACCAGCGCCCATCACTCGCCCCGGTCACATGGCCCCGGGGACAGCAGAGTGTGGCCAACACTCGGGGCTGCCTAACCTCGAGCCCCAGGCCTCATCACTGTACCACGAGCCGGGCCCCCAAGCGCATTTCCACACGACCATGTCACCCCCTCCACCTACTACTCAGCCCTCAACCCAAGTCAAAAGTTCAACCCAAAACAGAGACGAAGCATGCAACGTGCTTCCGTCACGAGCTGCAGCCAGGGCTGTTAACGGAACAGGGAATGGGCCTCGGCGGGCTATTTGCATCTGATTGCTTGTGGCTGGCCTCTGATGTGCGCCAGCCGCCACTAGCCTGGCAATTTCAGAGTCAGAATTATGTCTGTCCCCATGAAGTGGGTGACATCTTGATTTTTCTCTCCTTTTTTCTCTCTGCTGCCATTGATCTTAGCACATCCTGAAACAGAAATACCCCCCGTGTGGCTGGGGGGGGGGTCTGAGTCTTGCCACATGGACATTCGGGTCACCCTGTGATTAGGGTACTGTTCTTTTATGTACCCAGAGTCACAGCCTCCGTGAGAGTGGGTGGGTAAGGGGGACGTCACCCCAAGGGCAGGCCACTCCTTACGGTGGTGGAAGAGGCCTGAGTCAGTCCCTCTGACCAGACCCCCTTGCTGGAGGACTGGGGGCCCAAAGCAATGGAGGGGCAGGAGACAGGGGTGAGAGGGCAAGCACTGGGTGGAGAGACAGTGGTGGCCAGATGTACCAGATGTGTGAGCCCAGCCAGGCTGAGCACCTATGCCTCGAATGCCAAACTGTTTCTGAGCAGTGAATTCTCTGCATCTCCTTTATGTTCAGCTTTATATTTCAGTGGAATCTACTGGAAGGGGGATCCCTGGGTGGCTCAGTGGTTTAGCGCCTGCCTTTGGCCCAGGGCGTGATCCTGGAGTCCCGGGATCGAGTCCCGCATCGGGCTCCCAGTGCATGGAGCCTGCTTCTCCGTCTGCCTGTGTCTCTGCCTCTCTCTCTCTCTCTATCATGAATAAATAAATAAAATCTTAAAAAAAAAAAAGGAATCTACTGGAAGCTCTGCTGCACTGAGAACAATCAAGTCCGTGCTATGTTTGAAACGACACCAGGGCCGGGGGACGGGGGTGGGGGGTGGTGGGTACAGCAAGGACAAGAGAGAAAAGTCCCAGAAAGGGGAAGCTCAGGGCTTCATTTTGTGTTGGGACCACTTGGCGGGTTACTCCTTCCCGTCTGAACTTTGGGCCTCTGAGATTTCTTCTAATAGGGAAGGCTATTTCTTTACGTGTCCCTAGGGTCCCCCAGATTTTAGGGGCTATCAGACCAGAAAGGCCCCTGGTCAGTCCACAGTCTCTCTTTCTCTCTCACACACACACTAGAAGCCAAACCTCTCTCATCCACCTTTTCTGAGTCTCCCCTTGGCTTAGGGGCTCCCCGAGTCTCCTTCCCACAAATCCTCATACACATTCCTTTCTACTGGGCATATAAAAAACACCTAGTAAGGCTAGGTGGGAACTCTGATACCAAACAGCTTTCAGGGGACAGCTGTCCCACTTAACCAGCTCTAGGATCTTGGACAAATTAATCTCTGTGCCTCAGTTTCCTGTGAAATAAAGGTAATAGGAGTACTGGCCTCTTATATGGATTATGAGGACTCAGTGATTATATGAAGTATTCAGAGTAGTGCGTGGCTTAGGGAAGGCGCCACACAAGTACAACTCTGGTTGTGAGCAATTATTCCACCTTATGGGGTCAGAGGTGGGTGTGAGGAGAGGTGGGAAACCAACATGTCAAATCAACCGACTGAGTCCTGGGCCCCACTTCCCTCTCTGAGCTCGGCTTAGCTGAGTCTGCAGCCCCTCGGGGCACCTCCTGGGCAGGCACTGGGCCTCGGCCTTCTTCCTGCCCCTGGCTATGCTCTCCCCTCCTGACAGCGGAGCATGGGTGGGCTCTGGGGGGACTTGGGTACCCCCAAAACTGAGGACACAAGTTGTTCAGGTAACCTTTTTCTTTCAAAGGCTTGGAGTCTATTTTGGAAGATGGATACAGGACACACCGGCGGATGGAACCAACAGTCTTGGATTCCAGGGCACACTTGGGAACTGGGCAATTCCGCCTCAAATTCGGACAATTTCGACATGAAAACTCGGTGCGCCCTCCCTGCCCCTGCGGCCATCAGCCTCGCCTTGAGTGGATGTATACTCACGTGGGCGTGTTATGGTGCATGCACCATAATTTATATCATTCCATTTAATCCCTTTATGAAAATTCAGCCCAAGCCTGCAAAGGGTTCCCTCTACACCAGCTTTAGAAGATTCATGGGTCCGAGATTTTGCCCAGGGAGAAAGTAATTCTCTTGAAGGCAAACACAGCAGCTCCTTTTCTGGGCAGATGGGAGGATTACAGGGCTCTCCAGGAAGCCACGCTGGATGAAGGCCACTGTATCGCTCCGTGTCCCCACGGAGCTCATAAGCAGATTTTGCACTCTATTAGTCTACATCTGTTTGCACATCCCTGCTGTCAGCAGCTTCTGTCTAGAGAAGCAGCAAATGTGCAGCGAGAGGGGCGTGGGCTGTGGGGCAGGCCGACCTGGATGCACCCCAGCTTTAGCAGTCCTGGCTGAGTGACCCTGGGCGAGGATCTTAGCCATTCTGTGCTCAATCTCTAAACAAAGGATGCTGATGAGGGCCCCCACCTTACAGCATGGTCAGGAGGATTAGCAACGAGGTGGGTAATGCCTGGTACCAGTGCCTGACCCACACTGGCTTAGCAGACATGGAAGCTGCTAGATGATGATGAAGACTGAGATGATGACAGGACACATGGGTCCCAAGTCGGCTTCCTCCCTCTCTTGCCAGGCTAGGAGTTTCCCCGACAGCTGGGGCTGCTGCATTCTTTCTCCTCCTCCCTCCTCTAGCTTCTCCCTGCGGCCTCAGCTCCCATCCCTCTGTAATAATTCACTGCACCAACCTAGAGGGTACAGCGTGGCTGGGGCACCCCACACAGCACACATGCCCCAAAGCCACAGACCACCCTGCCGGGCTGTGCTCCCCCAAAGGGCAAGAGGAGGAGATGTTGTCTCCCCAGGCATGCAGTCCTCCCACCCTGCCCTCGCCCCCCAGCCGCACTCGTACCTCACGTTGTCATGTTTCTGGATGTAAATCTTATGGAACATCATATCCTCCTGCTTGGCATTGATGTCTGCTTTCATCTCCATGGCAACGTGACGGGGCAGGACAGACAGCAGGAGCCGCTCCTGGGGAGGGAGGCACGTGCTTTCATCATAGCTCTTTCCACCTGCCTGGCAGTCCCCTGCTTGCCCCACCGCAGGCCGACTCCTCCCCACCCGGGCCCCCATCCACAGGGCCCTGCAAAAGCCCTCAGGCTGGCCTGAAGTTCAAGGAGCTGACATTTAGGTGACAGTGGGCCAGAGTTGTGCCCCCACGGCTACTAGAACCCGGTCTCTCTCCCTGGGAGACCTCCTGGGTTTTGTGTGCCTGCACCTGCACCTGGGGAAGAGCAGTCCTGGTGAGCCTGTAGCACTGAGCCCCCCGGGGCACCCTGCATGTCACCCGAGACTGTGTGCGACCTTGGGCAAATTATTGAACCTCTCTGAGCCTCAGGTTCCTCATCTATACATAGGGATGGGGTGATTAAGGGCATCACGTGAGAGTCACTCAACTCGTCCTCACATTTTCACCGAGCACCTACCATGTTCCAGGCAAGGTCTCTCCTTCACAAATCTCCCAGTCTCAGGGGGGCTCAAAGTACTAGGGGGCACTGAGCAGGGGTTGCTGGGCTGGGAATGGGGTGGTCAGGGAGGGCTTCGTGGGGACCAGAAGGATGAGGTTGGGACTACTCCATTTCCACGATGGGGACAGTAGCCCGGGAGAGAGGGAAAGTGGACTCTGAGAAACGGAGAGAAGCTAAGACCTGTTGGAGAGGAGGCGGGAGGGAACAGGGAGGGGGCCAGGGTCACACTGTGGAGAGGGGTCCCGACTTCGCCTCCCTCCTGCCCTCTCCTCCCAGGCCTTCTTGCTGCAAGAGGCCCAGCTGCCTTGGGATGGGCGACCTCGCCCTGCGCCCCAACAGCCCACTACCCACGCCAGGCTGGCTCATGGACTTCTCCCGCCTGAGGCCTTTCACCCTGGCTGGCCCAGCCCTCCTCATTCTCCCTTCACTCGTGCCTGTCACCAGATCCTGGGCTACCCCCTTGTATGACCCCAAGATTCCCCTCCTGCGCCTGTGTCTTTCTGGTTTCTCTCCCTCCTCCTGCCGCCCCCCCAGCACATGCCCACCTCTCTCCTCTTTCTGCTCACTCTCGCCCCTGAGAGCACGCACCCCTGCCCGTCCCCTCCTCCTCCCTGTCCCTACTTCCAGGCTCCTGAGTCGCCAGCTGCCCGCCGGATGACTGGCCGCTACCACCGGGACACTGCACCCCAAGCCATACTCACTTTCCCGGGTTTTCATTCCCCAACGGCTCTTCAAGCTCCCTGCCTTTGCCCCCTGCCTTTGCCCGTGCCGCCTGCACTCTCCGGGCCACCAGGTCGGCACCCCACCCGTGTAAGTGCTTTTACCCTTCAGAATGTCCCCTCTGCGCCTCATCCCTCTCCCCTTGGCCCGGACCCGTCCAGCCCCAAGCAGGTCCTGGGATGCAGACGCAGACTCCGGTCCTTCCTGCTGCACGTCCACCCGCACCGCCTACATCCCAGCCAGAGGGCCCCTCCCCGGCCTCCCCGCTCCCTGTATGGCCCCCGTCTCTCCAGTACACTGCCTTTGTTGTGACACTCGCCGGTGCAAAATCTCCGGAGCTCCCCCCGGTTCTGGATTCTTCTGGAGCTGGTGAGCCCACCCCGCTTTATTTTCCACTGCAAGCCAAGACCCCCACTCGACCCGCCCGCTTCCGGCACCTGGCCTGCTCCCACCAGCCCGGGCCTGGCTGCCTTCTCATCCTCCTGAAGCACCTCTACCGTCCCAGCCTCTGGTTTTCGCATGTGCTAGGCCTCCTTCGGGTCCCACCCCGGCGACCAGAGCAGGCCCTGCACCAACTTCTGTGTCCCAGCTTGCTGCCTCGGGTCCATCCTCCACACTGCAAGCCAGTGCGTGATCTTTCTAAACATACCCCTGACCCCATCGCTGCCCTGCGTAAAACCCGTCTATGCTTCCTGAAGCTTCCGGAGCCAGCCCACAAGCCCAGCCTGGCCTCAAGGTTTCCATGATCTGGCTCCCGCCTACCCCTCCCTGTACCCGGCAGGCCCTGAACTGTGTTCCAGATCCAGAGCACCATGGGAAGCTGCCCAAGCTCCTGGCAGGGTTTCCTTGTCTTCACACACAAGCCCCTCAGCTAGGCTCACCATCCTCACATCCCGCCGCTAATCCTGCCTCAGGCTTCCCCCCTTCCCAGTAGGAGGGTCCTGGTGCTGCAGAGCATCCCCTTACCATGCAGGGTCTGCCTCTGGAGCCCCCGATCACTCAGGGTTTCGGGGGGCCTGCTAACCGGGCCTCCCTGTAGTGCATGAAGTGAGGTGCCCCTGAGGACGGAGCTGTGTTACGCTCAGCTCCACAGCCCTCAGCCTCGGGCCTGGAGAACACTGGTAATCCATGCAGGGTGCTCTCTGTGGGTTAGCTTGGTCTCCCTGAGCATCAGTGGATGTGGCCCTTGAGGGCCACCTCCTATCTCCTGAACTCTCAGTTCCTGGTGACAGAAACACAGAGTAAGGGGCAATCCTGTGGAAATACAGCACAGCTGGGGGACCACGTGCCATCTACTGTTTATGTCCATGAGAGACCTTCCTACATTTATAACCACTTCTGGGGCTGCGGGTCAGGAGGGCGGGGGGGGGATGGCTGGGGAACAGTGCTGAGTCCTGCCACCAGGTGGCACCTCGGAGTGCCCCCCAAGGACCCCCCCCAGGGACCCAAGAGCAGCACTCTCTGCAGAGGGTGGGGGAGGCCCGAGAGCCACTGGGCTCTGGCGGGGTGAGGAGTGCCTGTCCCCAGGAAGCACGCCTCTCCTCCCTAGTATCTTGGCTCAGAACATGCTAAAGCAAATGGATTTTCTTCCCCAAATCCCTGTGGATTTGCTGGAATGTCCAGCCTGTCCAGGGCCAGTACAAGGAAACCATGATGAGCTGTAAAATACGCATTTTACTGGAGAAGGAACAAGGCCCAGAAGTGAGAAGGGACACTCCCTGACACAAAAAGAGAAGGAAGGTATCCCGATGTCAGGCGACAGATACCAGGGCCTGGAGCTGGGATGAGCTGGGGGGCCTCTGAGGCATGGAGGGGCTTAGGGTAGGGAGCAGAAGGGCAGCAAGTTAGACAGAAAAACACGGTAGGAGAACCCAGGGACACCGCTGACCATGGGGCTGTTCAAGAGCCGGACCAGGAGTTCTGACGGGGCCAAAAGAATGCCTGGGGCCAGCCAGGCCTCAGGCTGGACAGCATGAGCTGGGGACCTGGCAAGGCACACCGGCCACAGCAGCAGGGCTGGACGGCAAGCAGGAGAGGCCACTGGTGGGAGGGGTGGGCTGCGCTGGGGAGATGCTGCAGAGCTTCGCCCCCTGGCTTGGGCCTGCCCCCGTCACGTAACTGCTTGGGGTGCGTCCAGACGGAGTCAGAGTCAGACCCTCTCACACTGTGGTCACACTGCTGTGCGCCTGGGGCGCCCACAGCGTGCTCTCTGGACAAGCGAGGAGGCCGTGGGGGGCTTTGTCTCCCTCTCCCTGAACTCAAAGGCAGCAGGACTCCACTTGTGTCTGTTGTGTAGACACGGACATAAGAAGACAGGAGAACCCGCTTCAGAGTAACTTCATCACTGAGAGCCACGCCAAGCGCCAGTCCAGGGGGGCCCTGTCAACCTGCTGGCCCATCCACACTCTCCCCTGGGGTCACACAGCCCCGTCTCTAGGGCTCTAGTCCGTGTTTTTCAGCTCGTTGTGTCGCAGAGTCCCCAGAACGCATCTGGTTCACACTCAGGCGAGGGCACAAGGGTCCTGCGCCCCACCAGGATGCGGGGCAGCCAGGCAGGCGGCTAGCCCTCGGTCCTTGCCCGGCCGTCACCCAAGAGAGCACAAGGGGCAGCTCCCCCGGCCCCAGTGCTCACTACGAGGAGCCCTCCAAGTCTGTGGCCCCCATGAACGGCCTACTTCCCTGCCCAAAACTTCTCTGAGAGCGGCGTTTAGGGTGAGACAGGACCACCATCCTTCCTCTGAACCAACCAAACCCCAGAACTCGGCACAGATAAAGAGCTTAAGGAGGGCGTCCCAGGGGCTGTAGCTCTCACCGCTCTAACTCATCGGCACTGGGGAGGGCGGAGGGCCCCTTCCCGTGCCCAGGGTCTGGGCTGCTTGGCCTGTCGGCAGCAGGGGAACATGACGGGGCAATGGGCAAGCACTAGGGTAGAGCTCTTCCTCCCAAGTCTCCTAGAGCATTCCCACAGAACCAGAAATGCTAGGCTCCCTCCAGGGAAAACATTCCCTTCTGGCTTAGTCCCTGCCTGGATGTGGGGTGGGGCTGGCGGCTACACGCAGCGCAGTTGGTGGGATGGCAGGCAACTAGGCAGAGGCAGGCCTTGGGCCACGCAAGGACAGGAGGGCCTCACCCACCTGTTGCTGGTTCTCCCGTTGCGAGTGGAGCCGTGCCTGGATGCATTCCCGGGTCTCTTGGAAGGCCTGTCTCTGGGAGACCTCAGCCGGGTAGTGGGTACAGACACCCACGATGTTGGTGCAGGAGAAAATGAGGACATTGGAGACGAGCTGCAGAGGGAGAGATGAAGACACGGAGCTGAGGCCCGCAGTGGGCACCAGTCGCTGGAGCCCCAACCCTGCCCCCCCCCAGGCCCCACGTTAGCACACACACCCACCTGCGAGCAAGGACACTCACCCATGGCTGACCACAGGGAGCAGCTAAGCAGGATAGGTCAGGCTCTCTGACTTCCTCGAAGCCCAGAGCTTGGCTGGCCTGTGACAGGTTGTGGCCCTAAGGAACCCAGTCTCTGAATAATCATACTGTGCATGCACACAGCACCAGAGACGAAAAGGTTAGGCATACAGGTGATGCTGTGTATGCACTGGTGGGGAGGAAGCAGGGGGGAGGTTGCAAGGAAGGTTCCATAAGGGTCACGGGATTTCATTTTTTGAAAGCATGATAGAGTCCAGCACAGGACAAAGGACTGCCCTTTTGCAGAGAAGTCTGAGATGATTATCGTTAATGCTTATTATTCCCCAGGGATCACTGAGCTGAAACAAGTGCGTGCTGTCTACCCAGGAGATACCCAGCAGTGTGCCAAACCCTCTGAGGTCTGGGAGAAGGCTAAGGTCCTGGGGCCAGCCGGGGTCAGGGTCAACAGCAGGTCCTGTCTCCTCTTCCTGGGTTTCCATTCCTTCTCTGCACCAGCCCAGACGCCCCCTGACAACTGCACCATTCCAGCTGGCGAGCATCCACCATCGCCCTCTGCCCCACACTCCTGCCCTTCCCCGTGCCGATGGAGGTGCATGTGTGGAAAAGTACTACTGCCCCTCAGGTCGCGGAGACAAGGTTGGAATTCTTTGGAAAGGAGCATTTACTGAAAAGCTAAGGGAAAGAGAACACAACACTACACACACACCCCACAAAAGCAAGATCACATAGCACACTTCAGATCCTAAATTTGCTCAGGATCTGAGACAAACGTTTTCTTGGCAGGTCCAGCTAGCTACTGGGATATCTGGGTAAACAGATGCTGGTCCTGCCCTTGCCTTGGGCCATGCAGGACAGAAGCCACACAAAGATGTTCAGGCTTCTAGGACTCCATCCCTCCCTCAGCTTGATTCTTAGTCGCAGTGACGAAAGGGAACCCCAATTGGCCTTGGCACTTTCTGCTGTAGCTCCGGAAGCCCTCTGGACTTGAGCTGCTTGGTGTGACCTAGCAGACAGCCCCACCCTCTTCTTCCAGGGGCCTCTCTGTCTCTGGAACCTAGAAGTCCTGTCCTTCCCTCTGGTCTTGTTCGACCTGAAGGCTTCCCCCCACCCCCAGCCCCAGCTCTGAGGCATCCTGACCTCCACTCAGGGTCCTCAGCCAGTCCAAGTCTGGAGGCCATGTGGGCTCCCTGCTGGATGTGGGGCTGTGGTTACCTGGAGACACCTATACCGCTCTACCATGACTGTCCTGAGCCGTGAACAAAAAGAGACTTTCTCTTTCCAATCTCTCAAAGTCCTGCTCTCTCCTTGGCTGCACAATAAATTCTGGTTTCCTGGCTGCAGGACACTGTGAGCTCGCCTCGAGCACTTCCTGGATATCTTCCAGATGCTTCCTGGATGTGCCTTCGGGGAAGGGGCAAACTCAGGTTACTAGCTCCACCAACTCTGATGATGACTCATAACTCCCCCAACCTCACCTGAATCCCATCCACCTCAGAACTGTCATTTTACATAAAAACATGGCAGAGAAAAACACAACCTACTCAACACAAGGAAAGAAAACCCCCTGTTCTATGAAGCTTATAATCCAGGTGAAGAGATGAGGGGTCAAGCCTGACAGAGAACTGGCGCTAGGAAGCAGAAATGGTCTTGCACCAAGCAAGAGGGCAAGGAATCATGAGGAGGCAAGAGGAGAACTTCTGGGCAAGCCAGGCACATTGGGCCTGGGATTGGGGCATAGTTGGCAAGTCCGGCAGGCACGGGAAAGGGTATCCCTGGAAAGAGTATCCATGACGCTCAGGTTTGTGAGGTACTCAGGGGTCCTTGAATAAATAACTCAGGCTCTATGATCCTGAGGGGAAGTCCACAGAGAGAAGATGGAGCTGGAAAGGCAGATAAGAGCCAGACTGCAGGGGCATCTGAATGTCAGGCTGAAGACGCCTGGCACAATTCTTATACAACAGGAACATGAAGGACTACTGAAGGAAAGAAGAGCAAGATGAGCACGTCAGCTTCACAAAGGCTCATCAAGGCCAAGAGCAGCAGAGGGAGTCAGAGATAGGTCAGGAGGCTACCACAGAAGTCCAAAGACTTCTGCATGAGGCTGGGGGCCAGAATGCAGAGCTGACTCAGAAGGAAGAGCCATAAGACCAGGGCAATAAGGTTCAGGGAGCAAGAGACTATGGCCTAGAGTATTCATCATGAGAGTGACTCTGAAGGGAGACCTGGATGACAAGACTTCAGAAAGCCACTGGGGACCACTGAGAGAGAGGTAAGGAGAATGAGGTGAGGAGGTGAAAGCTGAAGGAGCAATCTTCGGGGAATGCTGGAGAATGTTCTAGTTAGGGAATATCTTTTAAAAGGAGAAGAAGGGGCCAGATGACTAAAAACAGGAAAAATTGGGAAAGAGAAATGAGGAGCTACCCTCAGACAGGAAAATGTATCATGAGAATGCAACACGGCCAAGTGGGGTTAATCTCAGGAACAGAAGGCTGGTTCAACTTTGAAAAATCAATGTAATTCACCATATCAACAGACTAAATAGAAAAACCATATGGTTATTTCAATAGTTACTGAAAAGGAATATGAAAAAATTCTACATCAAGGCAAGATTTAAAAAGAAATCTCAACAAATTAGGAATGGAAGAGATCAATAGCATATATAAAAACCTATAGCTAATGTCATACTTAATAGTGAAAGGCTGAATGTTTCCTGCTAAGACCAGGAACAAGGCAAGGTCGACCCCTTTCATTACTCTTACTTGGCATTGAGGTTCTAGACTATGCAATAAGACAAGAAATAAAAGGCATACGGATTGGAAAAGAAAAAATACAACTGTCTATATTTGCAGAAGACATGTAGAAAATCCCCCCCCCAAACTCTACAAAGTAGCTACCAGAATTAATAAGCAAGTTTAGAAATACAAGGATATAAGATCACAGGATACCGGGTCGATATATAAAAAGCAACTGTATTTCAATATGTAAGCAAGTTTTGTTAAAAGCTATAGTCATAAAACTCAGAAGAAAACATAAAAGTAAAACTTCATGACGTGGGATTAGGCAATGATTTCTTAGTTTGACACCAAAAGCACAAATGAAAAATAAATGAATTATACTGCATCAAAATCAAAAACTTCTGTTCTTTAAAAGGAACAAAGAAACTAAAAAGACAACCCACTAATTGGGGAAAAATATCTGCAAATCATAGATCATACTTTTATTTTTTTATAAATATATAAAGGCACTAAAGAAAGGACCATCTTTTCAACAAATGGTGCCAAACAATTGTCTATATGTAGGACTAACTCAGACCTCCCAAAATACATAAAAAATTTACTCAAAGTGGTTCATGGGCCCAAATGCAAAACCTGAAATTGCTAAACTTCCAAAGGAAAACACAGGACTTTGGGTTAGGTAGAGATTTCTCAAATATAACAGCAAAACCTGATCCATAAAAGAAATGATAAATTGATAAATTAGACATCATCAAAAATAAGAGCGTATCTCTTCAAAAGACACTGTTAAGATAATGAAAAGATAAGCACAAAATGGGAGAAATTACTTGCAAATCACATATCTGATACAAAGACTTGTACCCAGAATTCATAAAGAACAAAAGTCCACTATAAGAAGACAGCCCGCTTTTTTTTTAATTTTTTTTAATTTATTTATTTATGATAGTCACACACAGAGAGAGAGAGGCAGAAGCAGGCTCCATGCACTGGGAGCCCGATGTGGGATTCGATCCCGGGTCTCCAGGATCGCGCCCTGGGCCAAAGGCAGGCGCCAAACCGCTGCGCCACCCAGGGATCCCGACAGCCCGCTTTTTAAAAGAGCAAAAGATCTGAATAGATAATTCATCAAAGAAGATATAAAGATGACAAGCACTAAGAAAGATGCTCAAAATCATTAGCCATTAGGGAAATACAAATTTTGAAAAACAACAAGATACTGTTCAACACTATTAGAATGGCTAAAATGACAAAATGAAAAAGAAAAAACAGGTGCCAACACAGGTACTAGGAAGGCGTAGCAACTGGAACTCTCAGGCCTTGCTATGAGAAATGAAAAACGGTAGAGCCACTTACGGAAACAGTTTGGCAATTCCTCAGTTACACACGTATGACCAGCAACCTCACGCCTAGGTATTTGCTCAAATGAAATGAAAAGTTAAGTTCACACACACAAAAATCAGTGCAGGAACGTTTATGGAGTATGACTCATCTAAAAAAGGAGCGATCTAGGGATAACACACAACATGGACCAGTCTCGGACACATGCTGCTGAGCGAAAGAAGCCACACTCGAAGGGCCATATGATGGCATATTTACATGACATTCTGGAAAAGCCAAAAAAACTGGAAGGACTGCAACCAGACTGGTGGTTGCCAGGGGCCAGGGAGAGAGGCTGATGAAAGGGCCAGCGGGAGGAAATGTTTCCAGGTGATAGAACTGTTCCATATGTTGATTGTGTTTGTGGCTACACATCTGTACACCTCTGTCAAACACACAGAACTATATACCAGGAAGGGTGGATTCTACTGCTTGAAGTTACACTTTTATTTTTTTTTAATTTTCATTTATTTATGATAGTCACATTGAGAGAGAGAGAGAGAGAGAGAGAGAGAGAGAGAGAGAGAGAGAGAGAGAGAGGTGGAGACATAGGCAGAGGGAGAAGCAGGCTCCATGCACTGGGAGCCCAATGTGGGATTCGATCCCGGGTCTCCAGGATCGCACCCTGGGCCAAAGGCAGGCGCTAAACCGCTGCGCCACCCAGGGATCCCTGAAGTTATACTTAAAAAAAAAAGAATGGGGGGCACCTGGGTGGCTCAGTCGGTTAAGCATCTGCCTTTGGC